CCAACCCGGGGGGTCCCCTCAGCGTGAGCCTGTGACTGGGTGGGAGGAGAAGAGGCAGCTGGCTGGAGAGACCAGCGGGTGGGATTCGGTGAGAGCACTCTTCAGCATTTAGTTACGTTTTGACTTTGTTCTAGGTTTGCCAGGGGTGGGATGCCTATGAAATTAAAAGCTAACTTCAGTTACTTCACGCTCCTTCCCGCAGCAGGCTGGCCAGGGCGGGCACTAAGCCAGGTACGCTTGCTCGAATCCAAATTAGACCTTTTTGACCTTTAATGACCGGCTCCTGAGCCCCTCCCGCCTGGAGGGAGAGGGTCTCGTTGATCCCCAGCGCCGCCCCTCCCGCACACCCGCCACAGACCCCCGCCCGGGGCTCCCACAGCAGGGCAAGGAATTATGAGCGCAGAGGTGGCAGGGCCCAGGGGGGCTGGTGAAGGGTGAGAGATGGCGTCCCTCACCCGGTAGGTTTGGGGGACAGGGACCACGGAGGTAACACGGCGGAGAAGAGCCACCGGCGAGCGTTTTAGTTTACAGCCATTCCCCCTTGTCCTATCACTACATAACCTTGTGAAAAGTCCCTCTCCATCCTTCCTGTAGACCCCTTCAGGTACTGGAAGGCTGCTCTAAGGTCACCCCGGAGCCTTCTCTTCTCCAGGATAAACAGCCCCAACTCTCTCAGTCTGTCCTCGTAATGTAGCTTGTGAGATATCAGTGGCAGCTGCCCCTAGTCTTGGCTGGTTGTTCAAGATGGCCTTACTGAACTTGGTAAGCAGTCGAGCATCCCTAAACCTCCTAGTAAGCCTAGTTTTTGAAATCCTACCTCAGCAACTTAAATGGAGTGTGGATTGTTGAGCAAAGCCATGGGCCTTGGAGTGACGAGATGTGACACTATGCAGGTGTAAAGGCAGAAGAACCATAACAGTGCTATGTCATCATTTTTGGTAACCAAGAGAGACAAAACCCTAGAAATTCTCACTCTATTTCAGTATTATTATAACCTTATTCAGTCAGTCAGGCTGGCTTGTACTGAGCAACCACAAGGTAAAAATACCGCGCAGGGGGTCAGCGTGCGCTGCTCCTTCCCTGTTGGCTGCGGCCGTCTGGCCTGTGCTGAGCTGCTTCGCATTTCTTCGCTCAGACAGCGGTCTCTTTTCATCTCTTCCCGAATGTTCTTCCAAATTCTGGTCGTTGTTTGTTGGTTTTTATTAGCAGTAGTGTTTCGTTTGTTGTGTTTTATCCCTTCTGTGTGAGAAGGCTTCAGAACTTACTTTTACCTTTTCATTGTCCTTATTCCATTACTGTGGCCATGAGGAGAAATTAACCCTGCTGAAAAAGATTGTTGGCGAGGTGAAGTCAGCGTTGAAGGGTACTTTGTGGTGATTGGAAGTCGGCTGCCTTTTTGCCCTGGAGAGCAGATCTGTTACTGTGCCACCGTTCGGAAGTAGCTCACCTCGCATTCACTTCTTGTGGAAAAAGCAGGCAGGTGGCTCCATTCACAAGAATGGCACGAGAGAGCAGATTTACCAGAAGATCTTCCTATCTCCGTGGGGACTATGTATCTGAAAGTATTTCCTAATTTACAATTAAAATAGCTATATTAAAATTTTTAAACATGGGTGCCTACAATTAGTTCCTTACTGCAAGTACTAGGCCTGCTCCTGACATACTGCATTTTCCTGGAAGTCCAAACTAGATCTGGTTTGGATACCTGAACAGAGGTTTTTTGGATCCTGGTGATTGCCAGATATGGAAATATTTGTCTTGAATTGTTCCTGTGCATTTATTGCAAAGGTATAAATTACGGAATAAATAGAAGGAGCCTTAATCCATAAAGCAGTGTTTTATACCTACTTTGAGCGTATTACAAAGCGTAAAGATGGATTTCTGTGATGCAGAGCTTACCTGTAAGGAAACTACCTCTTACAGTGTTCTAGCTGGCTAATAATTTGCTGACTTCTCTTGTCCTAATTATTACAGTTACTTACTATTCTCTTTCTTCTTTTTTTTTTTTTTTTATTTTATTTTTTCCTTCCAAATGCTGCTATCCTAGGGAGCTGTTAGTGAGGTAAGACCTGAATCAGTTATGTCAAGGTTTGTTTCTGACGTGTGTACTAGCCATGTATTGAACTTTTGCACTTATGTCGTATTCAGGGCAGGAGGGGTTGGACCAGGTGGCTTACAAAGGCGCCTTCCAGCCTCTGCTATCCTGTGATTCTGCGAATCCCAAACTCTTGATTTACTTCCAACTCTAGAAGTAAACCAGCTTTTCTGGACTGACAGTACTGATGCAATGTGGTAGACAGTGTAGAAACTTGTTTTAAATTAAAAACTCTAAATATTTAATCTGATAATGGGGTGGGAGGGGAGGAGGGAGATCATGATTGCTAAATCAAATAGGCAACAGCGTAGGTAACCAAGATGGACTGAGGAATTTCTCCTGACTTTTTTCCAAGCTTTATACCTATCAGTCAGACCTTTTTTGGAGACAGTGATGTGGACGTTCTCAAAATTTTGAAATAACAAACCTTCAGCTAAATGTATGTGAATTCCATGGTTGAATGAGCTGCTAAAATTTATGTGTAACTTAATTAGCAATACAATTTTGCCGCTAAAGATGCAGTGCATTTCTTATACTACATCCACAGTGCATACGTGGACAGATGAATATCCTACCTGATGCTGCAGTGAAGCTTACTAAAGTTATCTAAAAACACCAGATGTTGATTAGTCAATAGCCTGTGCTCATTCTTTAAGACAGAACAGTAATATATTTTTATTCATCCTTTTTATCTCTCCTCTACCATGCCATACTTTCTGTTGTTCTGTGTTTCATGTCTCCTCAGGTATGTCACCTTTTATGTTTCTGTATCATTTTTTAGTAGCAGCCATGCTGTTACCCACTTAAATGATACTCTCTCTCTTCATTGTTATTGCCTTGCATCGCCCCAGCTTCTCTTCCTATTGAAAAGAAAGAGTGAGAGTAGTTCATAGGCTGGAAATCTGCTGGATTGTTTTGTTTTGCTGTGTTTGGGTGGTTTTGTTTTTTGTTTCTTTAAAAAAAAAAAAAAAAAAATGTTTTTTGTTCTGTCAAGGCAAAATTCCAGTCAGCGCAGACAGTCGTCAAGATCTGTCTTGGCTGTCCGCACTTATATAGGCAATCTGGCAAGTGAAGGGAAAAATAATGATTTTTGTAGTTTTGATGCCTTTCACAGTCTTTTGAAACTTACTGGTTTTATTTTAGATAGTCAGGGGTATTACAAAGTTAAAACTCTCTTTTCTTTTTCTAATCTTAATTTTAAATACTGGGTTTTAAAGGACTTCTAGCACATATGTACAAAATAAAAGTTCTTTAGTGCTATAAGGATATGACACTAGCGGGTTTAATTCACAAATTATTTCAATTTGAGAGTACTGTTAGAAATTATTTGAGAATTTTACTTTTGATAATTATATTTAAATACTGCTAATGTTTTGGTTTTGTCTTTTTTAAGGCATCGCGAGTGATGGTCGCATCACGTAACTATGCAGACTTTGCAAGTGAAGCTACATTTGAAATTAAGGTAAAGAAGCTGAACACTTAATACTGGGCATTCTTGTAATTGTTTGTTTTAGATCTTGACATGATGGACTTGCCCCCTTTTCAGTTAGAAAAATATGGCTTTAATTTAGAACCGTGGAATAGTTTGGGTTGGAAGGGACGTTTAGAGGCCATCTAGCCCAACGCCCCTGCAGTGAGCAGGGACATCTTCAACCAGCTCAGGTTGCTCAGAGCCCCGTCCAGCCTGGCCTTGAACACTGCCAGGGAGGGGGCCTCCACAGCTTCTCTGGGCGGCCAGTGCCAGTGTTTCACCACCCTCATTGTAAAAAATTTCTTTCTTATATCCAGTCTAAATCTGCCCTCTCTTAGTTTAAAACCATTTACCCCTTGTCCTATCGCAACAGGCCCTGCTAAAAAGCCTGTCCGCATCTTCCTTATAGGCCCCCTTCAGGTACTGGAAGGCTGCAATAAGGTCTCCCCGGAGCCTTCTCTTCTCCAGGCTGAACAGCCCCAGCACTCCCAGCCTTTCCGCACAGGAGAGGTGTTCCATCCCTCTGATCATTTTTGTGGCCCTCCTCTGGACCTGCTCCAACAGGTCCAAATTCCAGAACCAAACCCCTCGCTATCTGGCCTGATTGCTAAATGCAGCTGAAAGTACTGTGCTGGGCAGTATGTAGTAATGTTACCTGTTTCTTAAGAATGTGAAGTTGTGATTCTTTGCAGCTGTGATACTGCAGCACAACTCTGAGTGGAATCACAAAGAAGCCAAAGAACCTTTTCTGTTCTGAGGGAAGAGTATTAATGCTTCCTTAAAGCTTTTAAAACAAATAGCTGGTATTTGCTGCATACTCGTCTTTCCATCTCCCTTTTGTTTATGGAGTCATGGGTGCTGTATCACAGATGTACAGCAATATAGGAGGAAAAAATATGGCGTCCTCTTTAATGCTTGACTTGGTGCTGCTCAAAAAATGTGCGTTCTGTCAGCTTTCCACAGTGGCTAGGTCCAAGGAAACAGTGATGCTTCTGTTGGCAGTAGCTTTTGTGCTGGCTTTTCATTTAGGAACTGATAAAAGAAACTTGGAAAGAAATTATTTAGTTTTCCTTTTACCCTCTCCCTGTTTGTCCGTGCCTTAAAGTATTAAAATTGTTTCATAGGCAGAAGGGAGGGGAAAATATGTTTATATGAAAAGTCTTTTCTGAGTAGATACAGTGTTTACCATTTGGTCCTGTCTTGATTACAAGACTCTTAAGTTTCTATTGTTATGTGAACTCTGAAGCAGAGCTGTCCTAAGAGTAGTGTGCACATGTGTTATATCAAATTCATCTAGCTGTCAGTGGATTTGCTTTGGAGAGACTTTGCTTTTATATAAACTGTCTTTAATCTGTATATCAGTATTTTGGCTGTTTAATCTGCACTGACGGAGTAATTTGTTTGGTCTGCTCCACTAAACTTGAGTGGTTTTTGGATTTTTTTCTTCTAATTTCTGTTTTGTGTGGGTACTTAAAATCAGACCTCCATGCAAGTCTGTTGAGCCCATGGTTTGGGGAGGAAGTTGTGGTACACATTATGGTTTGACTGGCAGGGTGGCTGGTGCAACAGTGGTTTATTACTGCTTGTAAGAAGTGGTGGTAGAGGAGGTGAATTCGTGTCTTAGGACCAAAACTTACAAACTGTTTCACAAAGGAAACTGTCTTGTCTCTTCACTAAGCCTCTGTAGCTCTTACCAAGTATTTGGCGTGCAGCAACCACGTAAATGTGCTTTTATGGTGTTTGTGAGGACTTTAGTTTGCCTACTGCTAGTAGGAACTACAAGGCTTTATTTCATGAGTGGAAATCTGTCTTTATTACAAATAAAGCTTGTATTTCCCAGAATTTGGAAATAATGCACAAACTTTACAGTTATTTTGATCTATGAATTTAGGGCTTGCTGGCTTTCTTTTTTAAGAGATATTAAAAGCTGAATTTGAAAGCGGTATGTGATAAGAAAAAGTGATACTCATAAATGGGATGAATTACTTTCAAGTACTCGTTCAACTTTGCAGAAATGTGACCTCCATCGCCTGGAAGAAGGCCCTAGTACCACGGCAGTAATGACTCGAGAGGAAGGGCTCCATTACTACAAGACAATGCAGACCATACGACGCATGGAGCTGAAGTCTGACCAGCTGTACAAGCAGAAGATTATTCGTGGCTTCTGCCACTTATATGATGGTCAGGTAAGAATTTTTTTTTTTTTGAAAGGTTTTATATTGCCTTACCTTAATGTAGGTGTTTGAATAGAGCAGAGAGTAAATCTAGAACTGAGTATCTATGTACAATGTCTGAAATTGTAGATGGGTCCATGATTTAGTTCATTAGTTCTTTAAAAGCAATGTCTGAACACACAAGGGGATCCCTGAGATCTTGGGACAGCAATAGGAAGAGAGAGAAGATAAGGTGCAGCTGAAGATCAGCTGAATGTGAGGAATAAACAACTCCGGTGTATTAAGTTAAACACGTTTGGAGGCCCAAATCTTCTTCCTCAAGCTTCGTTGGTGTTTTTTGTTCCAGTGGCTCTAGATCGTCTGCCCACTAAAAAGCAACAGCCAGGAGAAGGGACTTCATGAACATCTCTCTCCATTCCCCCCTGCCATTTTTGAACTGCAGTTGTTTATATGCTTCATTTGGGAGACAGTTGTAGAAGAAGTCCACAGATCTTTGTAGCTTCTGGTTCACCTCCTGTCTGCTTTTGTTAATCAAAATCAAGACAGGCTGGAATTCAGAACCCAAGGCTGTTGTAGCTCCAGGCTCTGCAAACACAGGCCTGCGAGACCTTGGGGTTTGAGGTAGTCTCCTCTATCTGTGCTCTTCCTGTTTTCTGCTGGTATTTGAATTATTTGGGACCATAGCTAGCCCTTGCCATGCTGCTGACTGAAAATTGTGTGCTTTTCTTCATTCCTTTGTAACAGGAGGCTTGCTGTGTAGGGCTTGAGGTTGCCATAAAGCCTACAGACCATGTGATAACAGCTTACAGAGCTCATGGCTTTACCTATGCACGAGGAGTGCCTGTCCGAGAAATTCTCGCTGAACTTACAGGTTTGTGCAAAGTAAAGTGAGGATTTGCATGCTGCTGTACTTGTGTCAGATTTTTTAATTTAAATTCAAAAATTATGTTGATGCACAAAGCATACTGGGGCTTCAGAAGCAGTTTCGTGACATAGCACAATAGATCAATTCTCTAATTTTATTCTGCAACCACTTTTTATTACGAAACATATGTCATAAAGAAGATTTTACGTACTGGTAGTTCTAAAGCGCATCTTCAGAAGGTTTTTCTTGATGCCATATGTTGTATTTGTGGTGCTACAGCAGCTTGTGTAAATGGAGCTTGCTGGTGGTAGACATTTATTCTCAATAGGACAAGGCATTACCCTCCCTGAGAGACAGGCTTGGATTTTCAGAACTAAACTGCTGAAGCCTTAGGAAGGCTGGTAAACACTCCCTGTAATCATAGACTGAGTGGTTTGGGAATAATTTAACTGTAACAAGACCATTATCTAGACAGATCTAAAATTTAGTGGAATGGAGAGAAGGTTGTTCACAACTGGGTCATAGGTGGAGCCAGGAAGAGAGGAGTGGGTCGGCCTGCTGAGCTCTTAGAGGTCTGTGAAAGGATGCCAGCAGTGAAAAATGAACGAGGAGTTTGAAGGTGTTGATGAATCATTGATATAATAAAGTATTTATCTGAGAATTTGCATGCTCAAAACATTAATACAGGAAAGTGCATTTTGAAGGCAGAGAGGAGGTATGGCTTCATACACGAAGAATGGATGTGTGTGTTAAGAACGCAGGTTAGTAACCTTCACAAAAGCCCAGAGTCTGGTGGATGATCGATTCGCCAGGTGTCACTGGATACTGACAAGAGAGGGAGAGTAAATAAGGAGATTGTCATGACTGAAGTCTGCTGTTGGCCCTGAAACTGCAAATATCAGCGATGATATCAATTTATTTCTTTTCACAACATGCATCATGTGCTGTAGCATTATGCTTGGGTTTAGCGGGGTTATTTTAATTGGAAAAGAGCAGCTGCAGTACAGGGACTGTTGTTACAAGAAATGATGCTCAGGCCAAGTTTCTGGAGAGGAGTGCTGCTAGAGCTGGTTCTTGCAAATAAAGATCTTGACTGAAAATGCCAAACTGAAAGACAGCCTGAGTTGGAATGACGCGAAAATTACAGAATTAAGAAGTCCTTGAAGGAGCAGGAAGCAGTCACGCAAGGACTAGTAGGTAAGATCCTGCAGGAAACAAACTACAGAAAAGGACTTTTCAGGAAAATTGACAATTCGTCGAGAAATGGTTTTGTGGACGTCAAGACAGATTGTTCTAAGGAAAGTAGAAAGTACAGCAAAAAATGGCATTGGTAAATCAGGAGTTCTTAGCTATGATACAAGAAAGGATTGTATGAAAAGTGGAGGGAGATTGCTGAAGTTTAATTACACTTAATAGAAATAGTCTTCTGATTAAATTTAGACAATTTTTTTTGTTGTTTTCTTTTCTGTTTTGGCTCTAACTGGCAGAATCCATAAAAGCTCACATGAAACCAATTCATAAGCATATGGAAGGTACAAGAGAAACCAATAATAAAAAACAATTCACTACTAAGTAAGGAACAGAAGTACAAATTGCAGAAAGAGATCCAGTGTTCAGCTTCTAAAATGCACACCAAGGCTAAGGCAAGCAAATCAACCAAATAAGCTGTGCTTACTAGAAATAAAATGGAAGCCTCTGTAGTTTGTAACAAAACAGAATAAGAAATGGAATGGGCTGATGAGAAATTCTGTGCTCTTAGATCAGCTCATTTAGATAGGGTTTGTTGTAGTGCTTCATGGACCACCAGTTATCTTCAAACTACAGCTTGAATAAAGCTGGGCTGCCTGACTTTTTGATGTTTATCTATGGGTGGGGAGTTTGTGGTGGTTTTGTTGTGTTTTGTTTTTCTTTTTTTGTTTTTTTTAAATGTCCTATCTGTAATTTTTACTTCTGGTTACTATCACAGGGAAGAGAAGTGTAGGTTATTGCAACTAATTTGGAACAGTGTTCACACCTTTCTTGCAGAAGCCAGAAGTAGTAAGGGCTGTATATACTTCTTCTTACAGGTTATGTGTATGAGAAATCTAGACCATGTTGGCTATTAAAAAAAACCCACCATATTTTTTGGAAAGTGCTTTTGTATCATAGGACACTGAAACTTCTTGGTTGGTTTTAAAAATTCTTCTTAATCTCAGTCTGCATTTCCTGAATTATGCTTTCATTATCATTCTCTTTTTTTTTCCCCCCCCTTCTCTTGTTTGTTTTGCGATATATTTAACGGTAAACTCTTTGGGAAGAGGCCATTGTATCACAACTCCACATGAATCTAGTCACAGCAACATGGTCTTAGCGTTATTACCTTTAGGAATTTAATTAGATGTTCCCATTTGCATAGTATTTTTCTTCTGAAAAAACAAAATGCTTGTTATTCATGTTTCAGGTCGAAAAGGAGGATGTGTGAAGGGAAAAGGAGGATCAATGCATATGTATACCAAAAACTTCTATGGTGGCAATGGTATTGTTGGTGCTCAGGTATACACATATACACATTCTGCTTTAAGGCACGAGTTGAATTTGGCTCGTGTCCTGTGCCAGTGTTTTCCTCTCATTTTTGTGGTGTGAGCTTGTATGCAGATACCCTTGCTCTGTGGCTATTCAATCTGTTATGTCTTTATTCTGATTTGCTCACCATTTTGTAAACTGTAGCAAAAATGAACCGAAGTGAGAATATAGTTAATGTTTATATTTTGGCTGTAATGCAGATTGGAACAAATGCAAGTGGGTTGTTAAAGTGTTTGCTGAGCAATCTCTGATGGGGTAAATGTCTCTTTATGGTTCATAAGCTGCCTATCTCCAGCTCCTCTAAACATTATCCTAACATTTGGGTTTGTCCTGCACTCCGCAATAGGTTCCTCTGGGAGCTGGGATTGCGCTGGCCTGTAAATACTTTGGTAAAAACGAAGTCTGTCTGACACTCTATGGGGATGGTGCAGCCAACCAGGTAAAGGAGCTGTGTCCAGTGTGGGGCTGTGGGTTACCCGTTTCCCTTCGGGGTGGTGGAGAGGGCACTTTTCACCCTGCCAGTGTAGTGCCTGCAACGCAGGCAGCGCTGACGTGGAGCTCGTGCTGAGGTCTGTGTGTTGGGCTGTCTGCTGCAAGGGTGCCTTATTAAAGGGGTTCATTGATACTGAAAAAGCGATTCTGGAGAGAGAAGGCGCTGTACGCCCTCTGGCCTGCCGTCTGCTGCAGTTTTTCTTAGGGCTATTGTTGTGAAGTGCTGTTCACCAAGACCAGCTTCACATCGGTGGCTGGGCATCTTGCAGATTTTGGACCCTGGCACATCTTACTTGTGTTGCCTTAGGCATTTGAGCAGGGCTGCATTTCAAGCACTGTGTAGTCTTCACAGCAGTGGTGCAGATGAATGGTTAAGAAGTGAATTGCTAGATGCTCTTTATATATCAGGAATGTAGCATATGCTTGGATTTTTTTATCATGTTTTGGCTCTGTCTCTGTCCTTCCCCACCACCATTTTAAACTCTGCCCTTGCCACTGGAGTGGAGGGGAAGCTTCCCTCCTGGAGTGCTTGAGATACTGAGGGAGTGAGTGGGGCTAATGGTTTGGTGTTCAAACACTGCGCAAGTCATGGGAGGAGGAGTTTCTAGTTACTCATGTTGTCCTCTTTCCAGTGGCTCACCTACGCGTAATACCCTGAAGTCTCTGTACTGCGAGGAGAGCTCTGAACGGTAGCAGCGAAGGACAGAGCATCTCGCAGAGCCACTTGCTATTGACATTCATGTTAGCAGCAGAGACAGTAAGCCAGATAAGAAACTGGTGGTTTAGAGTGTACTGCTGGTACAATTTTCCACTTTGAAAATACAGGTGGAGGTCTTGGTTCTTGGTTGTCCCTGTCTGACATAGAGTAGCAAGGCTGATGCAGTCACTGTGCTCAGACTTTTCTTTTACTGTGCTGTAGCAGCGTCCTGCCAGATTAATCAGTTGTGAAGTTCTTTATGACTGTTGCTGAAATCCTTCAGTTAAAGTTGAAGGTTTTGTGCTACCCTAACACAGACACTGAAATAGGTTTAAAAATCAAGTTCTATAAACTGTTAAAGTTACCTTATGCTCGCTGACCTCTGCAACGGAAGGATTTTCAGTCGAGCCTAATGCTTGAGGGCTGCGCTCCTTGTCTATGTGTGCCTTGCTCTTCTTTCAGGGCCAGATATTTGAAACGTACAACATGGCCGCCTTGTGGAAGTTGCCGTGTATTTTCATCTGTGAGAACAACCGGTACGGAATGGGAACGTCAGTGGAAAGAGCCGCAGCCAGTACCGACTACTACAAACGAGGAGACTTTATTCCAGGGCTCAGGGCGAGTACAAGCACAGCTTTTTTTTTTTCT